AAATTTTATGTGCAATCTGAACTTTTTTTCCATAAGAGCAATTTAGGAGAGCGTAGAGTTCGTATTTCTTACCTCTGTAGTCGCAGTTCAACGCAAAGTCCCTCTTTCCTTGCACTGTACTCATAAAAGAGCAAAATGGAGCACATATTTCTGCACACTGTAGTCGCAACTAAGCACCCCTTTTTCTAGACACAGTAGTCACAATTTAACGTAAAGAAAAGCCCGTTTTTGTAGACACTGTATTTGAAATTTTGTGTAAACTGGGGCCCTTTTTATTGGGAACTACAGTCGCATTTTAGTTCATAGAAGAGCCCCTTCTTCTGACCAGTGTAGATTTCCCGCGCAATATAATACAAAATATTTTCATGTTATTCAGGAAATATAAACCAATTTTAAGTATGGAATTTCAAAAGTGCATTTTGTAGAAAGATAGATTATGCAGAAGTTTTAACATATATAAAAAAATGTTCAAATTTCGCCTGTAAAAAATGAAGTTGGTTCATCCGAATTGTTTATTTCACATTACAGGGTTGTAGTGATCTAAAATATATTTATTACCATATGGTGACGTACCAATCGTGTTGTTACAAACTTTATTGCATCTGGGAGACTCAGATCTTTATTGTGTGAAATATACAGTTTTACTGAAACACTTATACCTGTTGAATTTTATTCGTGTAATACAATAAAACAACTATAATTGTATCCAACAGGTTTGAATTGTTTATGCACCCAAAGTTTAAATGAAAAATCTTGGCATATTTTTCGTACGTTTTCTAATCGATAATGCAAAGTTACGTTACTATAATCTAATCTATATAAAAACCGATGTCTGTCACGTCACGCTTGATTTTTCGCTAACTTTAGACCCGTGTACTAGATCTTTCTAGGAGAAAAAAATATTAAATTGTGATTAACAGACATAGTACATCATAACAAAAATTAATAACATCTATCATGCATCAACGTTACACCTCTACCTATTCAATCCACTTTCATTATTCTTTTTTTTTTCATTAGTTGTTGTCTCACTAACGTGAGACTTCAAAAATTCGCCTATAGGCTCATTGTAATGTTCCCCTCCACGGTAATCTTTAGTAAAAGGCGAAAGATTAATACGAATTGAAGGGAAACCTGAGCATTAACCTAACCTTGCCCCAAGTCATCTACTTATATAATCACTTGAAAATAGTTTCGTCGGTGTTCAAAACATTTGGCATCGTTATTTGATTTTCTCCTTTATCGTCTCTAAAATATATTGCCTTTGATAAATTAGGCAATTTTCATTACATGGGTTTCTAAATAAAAGGTCGGGTTTCAT